GCTTGCTTGCGCGGGGCCGGGGCTTCCCTTGAATAGGTTAGAGAGGGGGAGGAATGAGTGGTTGGGGAGCTCAGTCATATGCCGCCCATGACGGCTGTGATCTGGAATCGCACGGAGAGCAGGTCACGATGGACTAGGAGGAGCGGACGAGGTGGAGCAGGGAAGGGGAGGGGCGCTAGTGATGGCAAAGGTTAGGACGACCGAAGGTGGGAGATGGTCTTGACGGGTGGGGGCCACACGTGAGAGTGGGGGGGCACAGCGCGGGCCAACTGCGGCTGGGCCTAGCCCGTCGGGCGAGCACGGGAGAGGAGTGGGCTGGCCGGATTCGGCCCAGGGAGGGACAAAGATTTTCTTTTTCCTTTTTCTTTTTGTAAATTCATTTCAACGCCAAATCAAAAGCTTTTTGAACCAAATAAATTTTAGAAAACTTTTTAAAATATTTCTGAATTTTGGAAACTAAAATTCGAACTTGTTTCACAATAAAATTTTAAATACTTTGTTTATTTTATAAATAGAGCAAAATCGATTTGAACATAAATCGAATTTATGTAAATTCTTTTTCACTCAATAAAATAAATGCGAGCATCATGAATGCAACAAAATAACTCTTTAATTTATGAACTATTATTTTCCTCCACTAATATTTGGCCATAATCTAAATTAAATCTAACTAATTTTAGGAAATTGCAAAGATTAAAATTTAGGGTGTTACATGTGTAAAGGTTACTTGCTTTGCACGTACACATGCATGGTTTTAGCCCTATGAGTGTAACTTTATGAAATTCCTTTGTGCAGACTTTTGGGAGGTATACAAGAAGAAATAACTAAGCAAAATGATAGATAGGAGTTGCAACAATATATCAGTGTTTTACACAACAGTAATAATACTAAGATAAAAAAATAGATAGACACGGTAAACAAATGAAGTCACAAAAAAATTGTATCACAGATTCACAGCCGACCGAAATCAGTCGTGCCTACCGCCCCGCGTGGCCGCGCCGCGGCACTGCCCGACGAAGTCCGCCAAGCTCTGGTAGCTCGTGCCGCCCTTGGCTGTGGCCGCCGCCGCGGCGTCTCCGACCTTGGCTGCCTTTTTCGCCACCACATCGTAGCCCATCACGGCATTGATCTTCTCAGCCACTTCCTCTCCGCTCACCAAGCCTTTCTCCCCATCCCAGGTCCACCTCTCCTCCCACGCGCCCAGCCCGCCGCGCGCCACAACGGCGGCGTTGACGCGCTGGTCGCCGAACCTCGGCCACGCCAGCACGGGCACACCGAACGCCGCCGCCTCCGTCAAGGAGTTCCACCCGCAGTGACTGATAAAAAGGCCGACGGAGTCGTGCTGCAGGATCTCCTCCTGCTCCACCCACCCCTTGGTCACGAACGCGCGCCCCTGCACTCGCTCCAGGAACCCGTCCCCGAGCAGGTCGCCGAGGTCGGCGGCGTCGTCCCGGTCCACGACGGTGCTCTTCACCACCCACAGGAACCGCTGGCCGCTGGCCTCGAGCCCGGCTGCGAGCTCCCGGAGCTGGTCCGTCGATATGGCCTTGCGGCTGCCGAAGCTGACGTACACCACAGACCGTGCCGGCTGCGCGCTGAGCCACCTCATGTAATGGGCCGCATCATTCGCCGCCTAAAATCTCACCGGGAGCAGCGGCCCCACGGCGAACACAGGCGGGAAGTCGGAGACGGCCGAGCCTTGACGCAGGGCCGTAATGGCGTCCGGCTCAAAGGCGTCGAACGTGTTGACAAGGATGCCGTCAGAGGCCACGAGGCCGCGACCGTTGGCCACGAACTGCTGTGTGAAGAGATGCTTGGGGTCGTGCAGCGCCTGTGGGACGGAGGACTTTGGGATCCGATACAGGCCGGGGATGTCGACGTCGCCGACGCCCACGCCGCCGACGGCAGGGGCAGTGGCGTTGGCGTCGAGGTGGGCAGGGAAATAGGCGCATAAGGATAGCATCGCGGCGGAGGACGTGAAGAGGACGTAGCACGGGATGCCCCGCGCCTTGGCGACCGGCAGGACGACGGACGCCCGGACGATGTCCGTGACGAGCGCGGACGCCTCGGCGGCGTCGAGGAGCGGGCCGAGCAGCGGCGCGGACCGTCGCGTGGCCTCGAAGCGGAGAAAGAAGGGGTCGGCGCCGGGGAACTCGGACTCGTCGAACGGCGCCAGGCGGAAGTCGAGCCGGCGGACGGCCCGGACCGCGGCGAAGAGCGCGTCCAGGTGCCTGGACTCCGCTGACGACACGGTGGGCAGCACCGCGGCCACGGACACGTCGCAGCCGTGTCCCTCGGACAGCGCCACCGCGAGGCGGCCGAACGGGACCAGGTGGCCCATGCCGGCACTCGGGAGCAGGACAACGTGCGGTCTAGCGGTGGTGTGGTCGCCGGAGGCCGGCATCGCCGATGGGGCCGGGGTCCAACTTCCAAGTCTAACCACTGCGACCTGGGCCTTGTTTAGATTACATAAAAGTTGTAAGTTTTTTCACTCTTTCTTCATTTCTAAGTTTTTTTCCTCTTTCTCTATCGTATCAATTTTTGGACGTATGTATGAGGCATTAAATGTAGATAAAAAAAGTAAATAATTGCACAGTTTGGTTGTAAATCACGAGACGAATTTTTTGAGCATAATTAGTCCATAATCAGATAAAATTTGTCAAATACAAACGAAACATGCTACAATATCCAGATTGTAAAAATTTACAATCTAAACAACGCCCTGCTTCCGGCGTGACAGAGTGACAGTGGTAGCTAAACAGACCTACAGGAAGCCACTAATAAATAACGTGGGGCGCTACTGAATCTGCACCGCACGATGCAACAATCTACACGCGGCCGCGCCGGTGTGGTCGCCGGAGGTTGGCATCGACGGTGGGACCGCGCCGCGGTCCCTGCCACGGGCTTCGAGCGCGACAGTGGTAGCTGCGCAGCACGGGTGCTGACGGCCTCTAATAACGTGGGGCGCTGCCAAAATCTGCACCGCACGATGCAACAACTACGGCAGGCGCTGCGCTGTCGCTCTGCCGACCGTTGATCATTTTCCTGCCGTTGGCCAATTGTGTAGTGTGTCGTCCACATGGCTTTTTTTTTCTCAAATACTCAACATATTTGCGTATCATTGTATTAAGAAGAAGGATTTAAACATACAGACAATGCGCTTCTATCGAGCGTCATAGAAGGTCTACATAAAATAGTCATAGCTAGATTATCTTAGCAAAAGACTTCTAGTTTTGATATTACATAAATGAAAAACAACTAAAACCGACTAAGTGGTGCGACCATGTTCTCTCAACCACGTTCTAAATCAAATCTGGCTTTCTCTCTCATCAGAATTCAGAGAGCGTGTACACCATTGCCAAGGAACACAGAGCGTCGACACACACCGTAGGAGTATACAAGAAACGAAACATGAGTACACGATGCACAAATGCGCCTGCTACCTATTATTGCACACCATCATGCCAGTCAACACAGAGCGTGCCGGTGCTAGACGGAGGACGACGACGTGAGGCCGGGCGGGCGGTCGGGCGGGCGATCGCCGGAGGGGAGAGGGCAGCACTGCAGGCTGTGAGGCTGTCGTAGTAGCCGAACGTACACTAGCTTCCAACATGTACTCCTATTTCCTCGTAGCATCTCCGGCCGTCCCTTTTACTAAACCCCAACAAAAAAAAACCTAATATTTTTAAGATCCTGTAGTTCCAGCAGTTCTCCAGAACCAACCTTAATAAGAATTTTTTTTTTGTCAATCCCTCAAATCATAGCCTCCCACCCCTCAAATAAAGAGGAGATCTCTCCCCTCAAATAAAGAGGAGATCTCTCCTCGTTCAATCCATTATTTTTCTTATTGGGGATTGGATTTTCTTGTTCTGTTGAAGAGAAGACCTTCAAAACTGTAAAACATGTTTTTTTATCTCCCCTAATAACTAGTTTTTGGTGTTGAAGTTTTCTCCTGCTGCTAGAGTGCTCACGTAGGAAGGAGTATACAAGAAAGGAAACAAGAGTGCACGCACGACGCACAAATTAAACGGGCCTGCTGAATATTATTGCGCACCATGCCAAGCAGCACAGAGCGTGCCCGCGATAGAGCGGAGGACTACGTGAGGCCGGCCGGCCGGCCGGGCGATCGCCGGAGGGGAGGGCGGCACTGCAGGCTGTCGCAGACGAACATACAGTAGCTTGCTGTTTGGGGGCTAGCTAGGTACGCTGGCGTAGTAGCTGTGCTTGCAGTTTGGCTCGTGATTGGGCAGCTGCAGCTAACGATCGATGTCCACCGCAGGATACAACAACCACGCAAGTCTCAACTCTCAACCAATAGTTTCACAGAACAACACTCTCAACCAATAATAATCGTTTCGCGTTTTTCACGTGCTTTCGGAAGATGATGTTGTGGGTACAGAAGCATATACTCAGAGGTCAGAGCCAATCTAAAGATAAGATGGATTGCATAGTAACTTCACTGCTGTTTGATTGTTTGCTCCTCTGTTTGTAGGGATGCTACTGAAATTCAGAGTTTTAGACGCCGGATTTCAACATACACCAAAAGGACAACACTACTGTCCCTGATGAAGAAGAAAAGATCGCTTAGACAAAGCAGTTTTGCCGTGCACATAGTATAGACCAACACTTGTGATCATCCCTGACAAAGGAAACACATTGATTTACAGATAAGATGCATGTTGCTCATTACACACAATGCCAAACACGCTACTATATAAACATATAGGAGAAAAGTTGTGATTATGACAAACATGAGCACGCATGCGGTGGAATACAGTTAACAAGTCTGCTGGTCAGATTATTACACATAACCGCAACCGCAAGATACAATGACACAAATTGATCACGGAATAGTACACAAGATAATAATCAACGAAGAGTGACAATGATGCCTCAACAGGAAGAATAATGTCCGTTATGATGTGCAGGAGCATGGCCCGACTTGCCGTGGATTGTCAAAGGGCAACGAGCAGGGTGACGGCTTGAAAGACAGATCAAGACTACAACTGCAAGCTCTCCCCTGCTTCAGAAATTGACTCCGTAACTTCCACCTTTACCTCAGTCTCTTCTTCAGGGTTTGCAGGCTTACACAACTGCATTTGCAGCACAGGGCGATTCATGTGCTTGTCCACTTCCTCTTGTAACACATGTTGCTTCGCCAATGTACATCCCACGGTATAAATCTCCTTGAGTTTCGGAAGGTGCTTGATACCATTGATCCCTGATCTCAGCCTGCAATACTGGATGCTTATGTTTTCCATGTTAGGTGAGGTACCCTCCTCAAATGTCACCTCCCTTAGTGCCGCTGAATAAGTAAGCTGTAGGATCCTCAGCTCTGGGAATGCATGCTTGTGGAACACTAATTTCTCTGCATTATATGCATTATTATAAAGACGAAGCTGCATCAGGTTTGGCAGTTCAGTTATGGCCTCCAATTCCTTAAGCCCACAATACTTCAAGTCAATCTTCACCAAGCTCAAGCATTTACCAACCCATGTAGGCATCTCCTGAAGAAGCCCCTTCATTTTGAGCCGCTCGAGTGAGGGGAAAGGGAGAGGGGATGTAAAAGAAACCAACATATCCAGCCCATCTGATTTACCCTTCTTCTCGTTAGTACCCACATTGAGGGAACGGAGGGAGGACAGCTCCTGCACAGTTATACAGAATGCACTGCACTTTTTCTTGGAGGCCCCTTTCCCTCTCACAACTAACTTCCTTAGCTGAGTTAGTTCCCCTAGCTCTTTAATTACTTTTCGACTTGTTCGCTTGATATCAACCTTGTCTAGTATTTGTAGCTCCTTTAAACTTCCCACTCCTTTTGGTACTTTGATGCCAGATGAAAAAGACCAGCAGCTAGACATGCGGCCTGTTCGCTTGGTCGTAAATGATCGTGAATTATAAGCCAGAATAGTATTTTTCTCTCACACCAAACCAGCTAGCAGTAATAATCCACGATCGTTTCAGCCGAAACAAATAGGCTGATGGTCATGTGCAGAATGGCATTTGCATTATTACGATCAACATGGTTGGCTAGGTTCAATAAATGTAAGGCGTTAGGAAAATAATCACTTGCTGGTAGCCTGCTGCACCGCAGAGGACGAAGATTTTGAAGTTTAGTCATTTAGTTGGTAGTGCCGAAAAACTTGATTTCCGTATGTCTAGAGTCTGCAAGGCTTGCAGGTTTCCTATGCATCTTGGAAGAAATCCTATGTTTCTGATGTCTTGTTGCTCTGCACGGAAATTAGCATTCTTAAGATCCAGAACCCTGAGCATCTTGAATTTAGAAGAACAAAGTGACCCTATTGGCTCCATAGGTTCTACAAACACAGTAAAAGACCTAACACAGCTTTAGTCCATGCCAATATTCAGTTTCCTACTCGCATAGCATGATATGTGCCGGATGCTTTCCTTTGATGTAGTGGTGGAACTTGTATGGTCTTCAACTAAGAAAACATGGTTGTCCTGGCTAGATATTGGCACTGCAATATCATGCACAATATCATGAACCCTGCAAGTCTTCACATTTCCAAGAGCATCTAACTTAGCTGGTTGAATCATGCTTCGACTGATGAGTTCATAGAAGTAACTTTCAGCAACTTCTTCAAGTGTTCTCCTATTAGTAGCAATTGTTACAAACCCTTCAGCTACCCACCTATCCACCAGGTGTTTGCGTTCAATCTCAAAATCTTCGGGAAAGATGCTGAGATGCAAAAAGCAAGGCTTCAGATGTGAAGGCAGATGGTTGTAACTAAGATGAACCACTCGCCTCAGTGCTTCAAGGCTAGGATTGGTTGCAAGCTCTGAAGGGAGCTGATTGTACAGATTCTCCCAATCCCTTGTATCCTTGTTGTCTAGTAGGCCTCCTATTGTCACTATGGCGAGTGGTAGTCCTCCACGTTTGTTCAGTATCTTCTCAACTATTCCCTTTGTACGATCATCTTTGTCTAAGTCACCTGAGCTTTTATTTGTCTTTTTCAGAAACAAGCTTCTAGCATCTTTTTCCTCAAGGATTTCAGGTTGGTATATCTGTGAGGGGGGGCTACAATGCTCAGCTAATTTATGATTTCGTGAAGTCAATACTACACAACTGCCATCCTTACTGTTCTCTGGGAAAACAAGACACATGCAATTCCAAGCTTCAAGGGTCCAAACATCATCCAGAACAACAAGATACTTTCTCTCCAGGAGTCCTCCACGCAGGTAGTTCGTGAGGTGTTTTACTTCCAGCACTTGCCCTTGATGTTCTTCTAAGAATTCTTTCAACGAGTGAGCCCCAAAGAGTTGCTTGATCATCTCTTTGAGAAGCTCTTTTGGGTCAAATGATTGAGACACTGCAATCCAAGCAAGGATCTAAAAAATGTCACCAATATCCTTGCTATCATACACTTTCTTGGTAAGAGTTGTCTTTCCAAGGCCGCCCATTCCAACAACAGATACCACTCTTGGACCAGATTTGCTTATTCCTGGCTCCATGTCCACAGGCACCTCAAGTTTGGCTATTAAGTCCGTTAGTTTCTCCTTCTGTTTGTCCAAACCAAATAGCTGTGTCACATCACTGGAGATGGAAGGTGTGAGCTTGATCAAGTTGTACCGTGTGTTCCTCTGGCTCACCTCCTGGACTCTCAGTTTGAGAGTGCGTATCTGGACAGCAACGCGATGACGCGCTCGCAAGCTAAGCAGTTGCTGCACAAGGCTCTTGTGCTTGATGAAAACCATGAACTCCTCGAGACTGTCTTCAATGTCATAGGCCAAGTCACGGATCAGTTCCAAATACGCCTTGAGCACCCCAGTATTCTCACGCGCTCCGTCGGCTGCCCTGAGGAAAGCTTGCATCATCTTTAACTCATCGCTGATGAACCTAACAATAATGGAAAGAGCAGATAAATATGCTTCTCATGTTTTTTATTATAGTTTCTTTCATTCTAACATATTTCACCATATATAAAACCAATACATTTGTATTTCAAATGTTTGAAAATTTAAAAGTGTCCTAGCATATTGTACTCTACATTTTGGATTAAGAGACTACACTATAGATTCCAATTTAGTGGACTAGCCCATCAAATGTGAACATTCACAAGATGATAATTTTAAATTCATGGTCTCATGGATAAATTTGGGCCCTTAACTAATCAAATCACTTATTTTAGTTCTCTTTCTCGTTTATTTGATTTCTAGAACAATACCCGTACTCATACTTTATAACATCTACCTGATTGTGATAAATTTTGGTTACAAATTACTCTATGACTAGAAAATCCACGCCTTGCTTGGAGCATGTTATTGGATGAATCACGTTTTGTTGGGCTACTGTAACTTCGTTTTATATCTCAGCGACATTACTTTATAACGGCAAATTTACAGATCATAGTATCATGAGTAGTATTATATTGATCAGAGACAGATAATTATAAACCAAGGTAGCAGCAGTGCAGTACAAGAGTCGAGGCTATAACCGCAAGTAAGTTTGATCATGGAGGACAGATAAAGATAACTTATATAGCAGATGACGAGGTAAGATTTGGGGTGTTTGCCTGTTCCCTCTTGGTGGAAGTGCAACAGTTGAGAATTGTGCAATTCCTGCTTACTAGTTTTTAGAATTGATGGTTTGATTTATAGATTGGCAGATTGTGTTAGTGTCTGCAGCTGGTTGTGATAGAAAATATAGCACAACGCTCAACAATAAATAAAGGCCGTATCAGCCATCGCCATGTTTCAATACTGAGTCTAAAAATGTGTTTATTCAATTCAAAGACAAGGAAGTTTCAATATTGATAAATTCAGAACTTAATATCAGTGAACAGTGCATTTTCTCATCTTTCCATAGGGTATTATTGCACATGGATGTAGCAAGGAGCAGCTAGTAACATGCTATGAAGTAAAAAAACATGACCCCTGGGGTAAGACCTCCCCCGAGGCATTGACGGAACCGTGGCTAATTAGGATGTGCCACTGACAGCGAGGCGCCTACGGCCGCGTATCACGCTGCAACTGTCCTGTTGCGTAGTTGTGCTTCATGCATCCCTACCGCTACACTATGTGCATGTTCTCGAGTAAAAAAAAAAAGATGACCTAGTGGGGCAGGGGAAGAAATGGTGTATCAGATCAGAAGTAAAAGAGTGGAAATGAAATACATCCAAATGTATGTATTGTTTTGTTTTTCACGCAATCAGAGAAGTCACCAGATGATATTTTAGTGCCTAACAACCGTCATAACAATAACTTGTGGACGGTGTTCTTTTGTGTTGAACCTGTGGCCTGATTCCTTCTTGAAGGAAGAAGTCGGTTGTTTAATCTACCATTATCTAAAAACAACAACAGTCATAACAATAACCTGTGTGGCCGGTGTTCTTTTGTGTTGAACCTGTGGTCTGATTCCTTTACTTAAAGGAAGAAGGCAGTTGTTTAATCTATCATTATCTAAAAAACAACAGTAATAACAATAACCTTACTGTCTTTTGCTCTCTTTCTTCATTCACATATGGTTATACTAAAAAAGAAATAGCAGAGGAAGTACCGGATATCGTCCTGCACGCCAAGCAGCAGGCCCATCTCCTCTCTCGCGGCCGACGAGGCTACACCGAGCGCGCTGCCCACCAGCGTGGTAGCCATGTCCAACGCGGTCTCCGCCATGGCAGGCCGCAGCACCCTCCCTGCTTCTTTTTCTTCTTCCCCGCTCCTCCCACACTGTGTGCTACAGCTAAATGATAAGCTGGAGGCCGAGAGGGGACCAACCCTCCCTCACATAAACGGTCTCTCAATCGTTTTCTACTTCTTAATATGAAAATAAAAACGAAAGCGGTAAAGCCGGGCACGAAAACGAACATGAACTTACGGAATATCAAAAATTTCGAAAACGCACTAATTCGAGCAGAATTATGTCGAACACGGTCGGTATAAGAAAAATCAATACAGAATACTTTTTAAAAAAGTATCTCCATTCGACACGACGTAAGGAAGATATGATTTTTTTAAGGCAACAAGCGCTTGTACGCGATTAATATATCGCTGATTTTGTTTAATTTTTTTGAACATCTTCAAGACATCAAATGAAAAAACTAAGAACTAGAAAGTTGTAGATCTCGTCGAGAGCTACAATTTTTATATAAAAATCATCTTCATCCAAGATCGTATGAAAAAGATATAATTTTTCTAAGGTTGAACTTATAGTGGGCCAAATTTGGTTTAAACCGAATTGCGAAACCGAATTTCGAATTCGGGATATTCCGAATTAAAAGTAGAAAAGTAGAAAACGGTAAAAAAGAAGTCTAAACCGTTTTCGTTCCGATTTCGAATTTGGTGTTTCGAATTTCGAACCGAATTCGAATTTATCCGAAAATACGAATTCGATCAAATTAAATGTAGAAAACGATACGGTTCGATACGGGATATTTCCATACCGTTTTCATCCTTACTCACCTATGCCATTCATTGTTCCATCACGAATCGTACATATTATTATGCGTATACGTGGACAGTTAGTTTGGCTTACCAGCCTATAATAACTTCCATATGCCTAGATCGCATCTCAAGTAGTCAACTAATTTCAAATTTAACTATGTTCTTATTTAGTTCGCGAAAAGTTTTTCTAAAAAATATTATAGTATCCATCACATCGAATCTTGCGATACATATATGAAGCATTAAATGTAGACGAAAAAAAACTAATTGCATAGTTTGGTTGGAAATTGCGAAACGAACGTTTTGAGCCTAATTAGTCTATGATTGAACACTAATTGCCAAATAAAAACGAAAGTGCTACGGTAGCCGAATTTTCAACTTTTCACCAACTAAACACGGGCTATATGTATAGAAAATTTATATCACTAAATAATTTTTTTACAAAAATGTATAACGTTATTAATCTAATATATTTATTTGATATAATAAATGTTAATAATTTATATATATATATGTTTCGTTGAACTTAGAATTTGTTGGCAGGTCGCAATGTGAGATGAGGACTTATTCTAGGACAGTGAGAAAATGTATACAGCTGCACTCAGCTGTCCCATCTCCCATGTGCCATCACTGTACATCTTGATGTTACTCCTCCGTTCCTAAATAACTATCGTCGTTGGTGTCCGTGCCATAAGTTTGACTCGATTTATAGAAAATACGTAAATTTATTAAAAAACTAGATTCAAAGATCTTTCTAATAATATTAATTATGTATTATAAATATTAATATTTTTTAATATATATTTAGTAAAAGATTTTTCTCGAAAAACGAAAACTGACTTGAATGACAGACAGAGTACGTACATGTCAACTGCAAGAGAGAGCAAGTACTGCCACTCGGCTCACCTACTCTAGCAATCATGGACATCACCCGGTGGCATGTTCCCCTCAAAGAAGTACCTTTTATGCCTATACTAGTGAAGAGTTTCATTAAAAATAAAACTTAGATGAAATATTCAATAAAATTTTATTCTATAATTTTATAGATATTTAATTTCACGATTTATAGAGGGATTGTAATCATGTCAAGAGAATTTTTATCCCTTTAAAACTCACTTCTCTCCCTAAAACATTTAATAAGCCGCTGCTGCAGCCAACTAGTGCTGCCACTACAGTAAATTGATGCTGTAGCTGCAGCAACAGCAGTTTATTGCTGCAGCCGAACAATGTTATTGGCACATCAAAAACACATACTCCCTCTCGTACTGGCACTACTGTAAAGTGTCTGCATTCATTGTCTCATCGATGCATATGGACACACGTAGCGCCTAGGTCTAAAGTATCTTCGCTGTATCAGGTTGAAAGCTACAACGACCATTAAAATGGGATGGAGAGAGTACATGACAGCTCTTTAAATACAAATAAAACTAAAAAAACCTCTGGCTAGTTTTACTCTTCGTTTGGTATTTGCTGCACGACAAAAGCACGCATCCGGGTGAATCCGTCCACGGTCCACAGACCACTTCGTCTTCCCTTCCGAATGCCTTTTTTTTCGGTCTTTCCCATTGCATCTGTGATCAGTCTCACATCGAGGAGGGAGGCCGGACACGGCCAACGTTCTGCCCTATCCGCCCAGGTCTAGCCAGGACAGAACCAGAAGTTGAATATTATATGAGTTTAGACCTATATTTTATTGGATAAAGTACACTTTATAACCCTCAACTCGTGCCGAAGTTCGATTTTCAACCTGAAACCGGTTAAGAAACACCCTCTAACTATCAAAACCGGACAAATTTGGTCCTCAACTGTTTTCAAAAACGGTTTTCTATTTTCGGGAGACGCTGAAGTTTTATATTATTTTTTTGAGCATTTAACGTCCTCAAATGAAAAACTCAAAACTACAAAGTTATAGCTCTTACAACTTTGATATAAAAAGTATTTTCATTTAACTCCATACAAATAATATATTAATGCTCTAATACGCCAAGCGCTAGTAGACGATTATTATGGTGCTGAAATTTTATATTATTTTTTCGAGCGTCTTACTGTCCTCAAATGAAAAAAAAATTAAAACTATAAAGTTGTAGATCTCATCGAGATCTACAATTTACATATAAAAATTATCTTCATCCGACATCGTATTGAAGGGTTTTCTATTTTTTAAAATTTAAGTCTCGTCCCGCTACAAAACAATACTGTGGCATGACGATACTCAAATTTCAAAAAATAGAAAACCCTTCAATACGATGTTGGATGAAAATAATTTTTATATGTAAATTGTAGACCTCAATGAGATCTACAACTTTATAGTTTTAATTTTTTCATTTGAGGACAGTAAGATGCTCGAAAAATTAATATAAAATTTCGGCACCATAATAATCACCTACTAGTGCTTGCCGTATTAGAGCACTAATATATTATTTGTATGGAGTTAAATGAAAATACTTTTTATACCAAAGTTGTAGTTCTCAATGAGATCTATAATTTTGTAGTTTTGAGTTTTTTCATTTGAGGACGTTAAGACTCAAAAAAATAATATAAAATTTCGGCGCCTCCCGAAAATAGAAAACCGCTTTTCAAACCCGCCAAGAACCAAATTTGTTCGGGTTTGATAGTTGGAGGGTGTTTCTTAACCGGTTTCGTAGTTGAATGTTGAAAATCAAACTTCGACGCTAGTTGAGGGTTGTAAAGTGTACTTTACACTATTTTATTTAATAAATTAATTAATTCTAGGTCTATATTAAATGTTGTGGTACAGTATAGTTTTAGTCCTATATGAGATTTTGACTGATCGTTGAGTCAACTTAAATAGGCTACACACTTGTACACATATAGAGAAGTTAAAAGATGCCAAAGGCGCACCACACGTGCGCGCCGCCGAGTCGAGCCATGGCATGGCGAGCGAGCATGCTCGTGCATGAGAGCGGGCGTGGGCAGGTATAACACCCTAAAATTTGTAACATTTTAAAATAGGAGAATTGGATTTAATTATGCATATGTGTGTGCATGCAAAGGTAGAAAATAATAATTTTTGTGAAAATAAAATCAACTATAAGGTATAAATACATGAGGGTGCATTCATGCCGCTCCATATTATTTTGTGATGTTTGGTTTTGATCAAAGACGCAAAGGAAAATTTAAATTTGATTTAAATTTGGTTTTAGAAATATGTTTAAGAAACAGGAATTACTTCCTCTCCCACTCCCCCTCTCTGGTTTCGGCCCACCTCCTCTCGGCGGCCCGCTCAGCCTCACCCATCACTGTGGCCCATTGCCACACCGCAGGCCCGTTTCTTTCCTCTCTCCCTCCTTTCCAGACCTTGGGCTGCCCCGGCCGAAGCCCTAGCAAGCTAGCACAGCAACAGTAGTAGGCCGCCGCGCTCCCCCTCCTCTCTTCTCTATCACTGGCAGCCCGGTCCCGCGCCCTCTCTCACCGCCACCCCGACCCCACATGTCAGTGCATCTCTTTTCCCCTGTCTTGTCCACGTCGGACTCTACTTCCACCGCTGTGTCCGCCTCCGCTACGTCATGCTTGGCGTGCGCTCCACGCCGCTCCGCCCCATATAAATCATCATGTGCCGCGTCTCCTCCCTATTGAACCCTAAAGTCTCCGCGTCACCCTCGCTCGGTCTCCAACACCGCCACAAGCCCTAGCAGCGCCGCAGGAGATCCGCCACCGACCGGTTCACCGCTACGTCGTCTCGTTGACTCGCCGAGCCACCTACATGGCTTTGAGTGAAGGCGAGGAAGCAGTGAGTCCTGCCCGTGCCCTCTCCCTCCTTCTCTGTTGCCCGAACTAGCTCACCATAGCTTCCCTGGTGAACCCGTGCCGCTATGTCAATCCCCGCGTCCATCTCGTGCCATCGCGGTCCCCGCCGATCCCTCCATAACGTTCGCCTTCTTCTCCTCTTGCTCCCCGACTTTTCCTCGAGCCAAACGGGGCCAAAACACCGAGATCGAAGCACGCCGGCGACCTCCCCTGTTTTCTCCGGCGAGCACGTCACCTGGGGCTCGATGCCGGCCATGTTGTCCCCCCCATATAATCTGTGCCACTCCAACTCGAACTAGCGGCCCAAATTGGCCCGGTACCCTTTCGGCTGGTACTTTTGTGAAAGAGCCCCTCTAGTTTTCTGTTTTTAAACCCGTGGTCCAAAGGATATTTTTAGGATGCGCTTTCTTCTTTTGAAAGCGTAGTTTCTTCGGTTTAGATCCAAAATACGTTTTCATCTATTT